AACTTATTTCATGGTAGTTTGTACTTGGATAATAACCCTTATCATAACTTATTTATCTTAAATTAAACTTATTAGAATTAGAACAAGTAAAAAGATGATGAATTGAACACTTTTTTTACAGAGCTCAATTACACTTATCAGAACCAATAAGACCTTATAAGAGCTTAATTTAATTGTAAATTGAACTTGTATAATTCCTTATTAAAACATATATGAATTTATTTTATTTTAATTTTCTTGAACTTAATTTATCTAGACATATTAACCCTTATTTAAATCACTCTAAACTTATTTTCTTGAAATAAATGATATTTAGATAATTTGAATTGGGCCTAAATTGTATTTGTGTGTTAATTAATTTGGTTTAATTTGATTATTATTTTCATTTCTCATTATAATGGATTATCGCCATACAAGTGTCTTTTGAAAATAAATAATAAAAGGGAAAATGATCAAGTATGATTTATTACCAAACTATAAAAGATCATGATATATTACTATTTTCTCAAAAAGCAATTAGGTAAATAAGGAAGCATATAAGCAAAATCTGATGATATCCTCAAAAAAAATCCTTTAGACAACTAAAATTAATCTGTAATATCTCAATTGCTGTGATATTGGTGTGATTTCAAACGTAACCATGTAAGTCACACTCTAAAAAGTAGTCATCTTTCATTGAATCATTTCAAAAAAATAAATAAATAAAAATCACATTAAATAATTTTAGCCTATGAAATTTGCTCAAACAAACAATGTCTTGATAATGTGTTATCATCCTTAGTTCTTCAACATTCCCATTATATAAACTCATAAACTCCTTTCATTTCATATACACACAATAAACTTCTTACTTTGCTAAGTAAAAACCCAAAAAAAAAATATAAAAAAAAAATTAAAAAAAAAAAAGAAGTTGTTTTTCTTTCTGTTTCTCCATCAGTTTGGTGCACCATGGCAAGAATTAGGAGGCACAAAAGAACTCCACACATGCCATGCAAATCCCATTCTCTTGACAGTACAGGCCGATCTCGATTTCGAAGGGTGGAACAAGGAGAAGAAGTTAACTCAGATCGCCCAAGTGTTACACCTGAATACCCTTATTTGTGTTCAGTATGTGGTGAAAGGTATAGAGTAAGACGTGAGTTTCTGGCCCATTTGAAATTCTTTATGGGTGTAGGTAGACGCCGTAGACAACGGCAATCCGATGATCCCCCACTTGATGAGGGTCCTTCTGAGCCACCAACCGAGCCTGAGACACCTCAACCTCCTCAGCCTCAGCCGCAACACACACCTTTATCTCAAACTCCGCTTGAGCCTCATCTTACTGAATGTGTGGCGGATTCTTGGTACCAGCCTCCGCCTCAGCTTCAACCTCAACCTCAACCACAACCTCAACCAGAGCCAGAGCCAGAGCCAGAGCCGGAGCCTGAGTCTCAGATTGACCCTTTGCCTGAGCAAAAGCTTGAGCCAAACCTCGAGTTTGAGCCTTTGCCTCAGACTCAGCCACGCCCTCAAGGTGGTTTAACAACAAGGATGTTTTATTTGGTACCAAGAGTACCACCAGAATTTCAAGATTTTCTAGATCAACTTGAAGGAAGAAGGGCTAATAATGGCCCTCGTTCTCCTAGAGTTGATCTAAACCTAAGGCTTGCACTTAAGGCTCGTCGAGGACGACCACGTCGACGTCTGATGCCATTAAGCCCTATTGGACCAATTCGTAGGTTTTTGTGGTTCAAGGAGTATGTCAACAAATTGAGGCTTGTTGGTGGCGACGTTGATGCTATCCTAGGTGTTGCTGGAAATGATGTTGACGAAATTATGGCCAACTCTTTTCAAACTCTCACTGATGAACAACTTGAGTTGAAACTTGGAATCTGATCTCAACTTATCATATCATTTGGTTTAGGGAAAATTGCATGAAACTTATAATTATTGTGTCTTTTATTTTAATTAAGTTCTTTTTTATTTAGTCTACATTTTTATGTCTTCATTAATGTTTTATCATCGTTGTTTGTATAAACATTGTCGTTGTATTCGTTCATGAAAAATGTTGGTGTTTAATTTGAAAACGTTGGTGTTATTTTAATTTTTTTTGAAAGAATGGTGTTATTTTAATTTGATATTATGTAGTGTGATTTTGTTGATTTATATTGATTAAATCAATATCAATGTATGATCATTACTTAGTACAATGGATGTCTGAAAATCCCTTCGATATTCTAACATTTGAGACTAACAAAGATATAGAAGATCATTAGATATAAAAAATAAAAAAATAAAAAATAAAAATCACTGTATTAATTTTATTTTATGTATTTTTTAAAATAATTTTATGCAAGTGTTCTTTTAAAAAAAACAATATTTAAAAAATATATATAGTTTTATGTAAGTTGTTCACGTTATATCCCAACTATTCTGTTTGGTACATTTTTTTTTTTCAAGCGTTACATGCTAGAAAACTAAGTTTCTGTTTAGAATGCTGAATTATTATTGGTTCAGTTTTTTTATTTCCAGTTGGATCATAGTTTTTTGTGAATTCTGGAATTAGAAAGTCTTTGTTTTTTCATTAAATAAAGGTTTTTTTTTTCTTTAATTCTCAACATCAAAAAAAAAATGTTTGTTAATTGTTATTAGTTTATTACACATACATTTTGATTATTGAAATTGTTTTGCTTGAGAGATATAAACTGCAAACCATGTAAAAAAATTTAGAATGAAAAATTAATTTAATACGATAATTTTAACTATCTTTTTAGAGATAATTCTAACGAATTTAACGACCATTTACTTAATAATAATTAATGTCATAGAAGTACGTCGAATTTGTTAAATTCACTAATGAACTCATAATTATGAAACTACGGATATATTATATTATACACGTAAGATATATTTATTATATTTTCTCTCAAAAATCAAAAGTAAAAGTATTTGTGTATATGATCTCTAAAGTATTAATTGATTCCAATAATTTGTCACCTATTATGATCTTATTGAATTTGTAAGTTCATTGAACTCAATTTAAGTTAATGTACATTATTTGTTAGCCCTATAATTAGTTCATTTAGCTTGATATACTCTAATAAATTCATTTTAGGCAACACTGAATATTAAATTTAAAATCATAACCTTCTATACGTATTTGATTTGACAAATTAGGGCGAAAAAATTTAATGACAATCTTTTTTTTTTTTTTGAATGAATTTAATGACAATCATATACTTCTTAATGATATTCATAACGAACTTAACGATTTATTTATCACGAATCCTATAAGATTGTAACGAATTGTTTAACAATACTTGTAATGAACATAACGAATTACAATACTTTTTTTTTTTAATGAAATCTTGCCCATGCATTGTAGGCATACACGAAATTTAATTTGTAACAACTTTTTATCGATCTACATAACGAACTTAGTGAAACTTTTAATATGAAAATATATTAGGTTTACGGAAATTTCACCAAATGTCCCTGAGTTATTTTTTTATTCACCATATACCCATGAAAATTTTCAAATTCACCATATATATACACTTGAGTTTTACAAAATTGTCACCAAATGCCCTTGATGACTAACGACAGTTAACTCCGTTAGTCATTAAGATTAATTATGCCACGTGGCGGCTTCTAATTGGTTGCTTATTAAATTAGTAAATTAATTATTCAATAAAAAAATTAAAAATAATAAAAAAAAAAAAAAACCACCACCCACCATGACCCAGCCCCAGTCAACACCCTGACCCCACCGTACCAAACCTCCGGTCAGCGGCCCAGCACCGAATCTGACACGACCCCGTGCCGACGCCATCTTGATCCCGACACCCCGCCGGCAAGTTTGACCTTAGCCTTGACCCCGACACCCCAATTTGCGACATCCTAAACCCCAAATCCCTCCCCACCGTCGGCGTCCAAGAATCCCTCCACTCTCTACCGTCGGTGTCCAAGAATCCCTCCCCACGCACTCCGGCAAACCCAAACCACCCCTTCCCCTCTCATTTCCACCCCCCTGAACCACCACGCCAAAACCCCAAAATTGAAAACCCTTAAATCGAAATCTAGGGTTTCGCTTTTGGGGATTTCGATTTTGGGGTTTTAGGGTGTCGAAGATGGTGGTTTAAGGGGAGGAAGTAGGTGGAGATGGTAGGGGGGGTGAGGGAATTAGCGTCGCCGGCGCAGGGGATGGGGGCTAGGCGCCGGTGAGAGGGGAGAGAGGTGTTTTTCAAGTGTGAATGAGGGGTTTAGGGTCGGGGGGAACGTGGTTCTGGCTAAGAGAGGGGCGGCGACACCATTGAATAAGGGGAGGGGGGTGGTCAGCGGCGCAAAAGAGGACATTGGTCGCCGGTGAGGTGGGGGCAAGGGGCTAGGCTGGCGTGGGGGTGGTGATGCGGTGGGGAGATTGGCTGGGGATTTGGCTTTTTTATTTTATTTTTTTGTTAAATAAAATAATATTAAAAATGAACCAATTAGAAGCCTCCACGTGACATGATTAATATCAATGATTAACGGAGTTAACTGTCGTTAGTCATTAAGGACATTTGGCGCCAATTTTGTGTAACTCAAGTGTATATGGTGAATTTGAAAATTTTCATGAGAATATGGTGAATAAAAAAATAACTCAGGGGCATTTGGTGAAATTTCTGTTAGGTTTATAAATTACGTACAACAAAAGCTAATAGGAAATTATAACGGTTTTTTCCTGATATTTATAACGAACTATTTTTAACAAGGCATATAAACATTTATTAATATAACAAATCTAACGAATTTAACAAACGATTAATAAATGTTAATTATGATACCTACTATCTCCGGTCCAAATTAATTGCAACTTTTAAATATTTTATATCTCACAAATAATACCCCAAAATTGCGAGTAATTTGGTCCGGAGGTAGTATATTGCATTAGGCGCGGCGTACCTAGAGTTCATTTATCTGTATAACTTTTTCTTATTTTGAGGTGTTTGCCAGATCTTTCATCAAACCACATCAAAAGGTAATTAGGTTACCACAACGACTTTTTAACGATAATTATAAGAAATTGTTTAATATAACTTGTGTCATACAGCCGATACAGGTACAAAGTGTACATGGAGGCATGGAGCCCTTCAAGTAGCTATTTCCTTTTGGGATCTCGACTTAGGTTATGCTTCTTCAACGTTTTGATATAATTTCTCATGAGAGAAAATTTGTTGGAGCCAAGGTAATAGAAATAGTTCCATGTGTATATCCCTGTTTTATGCAAATCATCAAAGAGCAACCTGAACAGCATAAACACATTTAAAACATGCATGAATATAAAGACTTCACAAATAGGCTTTTGTTTGCCAAAAAATTATGCTACTTCAGCTTGAGATATTAAATGTCTAAACATACCTCACCCCATAATTCCCTACAGGTTCTGCAGACATGATCCCAACATGACGCCGACCAAATATTACCTGCAAGAGAACAGAAAAAGAAAATTCACTTGTAACTGATGAGGACTTCTAGTTGGGTTCATTTGGCTATTGAAATAGTCCAGTTTTGCCATCAGTTGTCTCCAAACTCAAAATGTCACTTCTCATCCATGACTCAAAATGCAAGCTCATTTTCTACCCATCATATTTTTTTCTAGTCATGCATGCTTGCAAAACTGACAGAATCCCAGGAACAAACTTAATGTACCAAGCGTACAAGTAACCAATAAATACCCAAATGCGTCTCAGTAAGGAGTAGCAGTGTAGCAATAAATTTAGCATCTATAAAACTTCAATAAATCTCAATGGCAATTGGGATTTGAAAAGGTTACCAAGGAACCACAGACAGTAAAAATTAACACACATTCTACCTTTTCCCCACCAATGGAACGGATCTTGCTGTCTGCAGCTGGGCTATATACTCTCAGAAACTCAGCTGATAAATTAAATGCACGGCCATCAGCAAATTCCACCTCCGCCTGAAAGAGAGCATTCAATATCAAGCTCCCAAGCTATACTGTGATATGATTTTAAAGGTAAACATGCTATGTATAAGATATATGCAGTTTTCAAGACACAAATAAACTTTTAAATGTCCGACACAGCACATAAACAACTACTTTGCATTACTGCCAGGAATATGTGATGATGCAGTTTAGAATATGTGATGATGCAGGTAAACATGCTTGTGGCGCTTGTGTTTTGCTTGTTAAGCAGTTTAGAATATGTGATGATGCAGGTAATCTAGAGCCAGAAGAAAAAGGAAAATGGAATATAATGTTGGCGATGGCTTGAGATTTTACATTACCTTATAGCAAAGGGTGATGGAAAAATGAAGAGTAACAAATTGGGTGAGTCGGTGAATGAGATTAAATCTTTTGCCAGTCCAAAAAAAGGATAAAATTAAAAACTTGGCAAGGTTGTTAACCCATTCCATTTCTACTCCTCATAATTAACTAATCAAAAGGGATTTAACAACACAATTAATATAACTAGATCTCCACCCCGCCGCCACCAAAATAGTAATCTCAAGAGTGAATGAACCAATACGCAATCCAGCGCACATAATATATTTTTTTGAGAAAATGAATCTATCTGTACTTTATATACGATTAAACTAGTTCTTATAAATATCTGCAGTTGATTTCTTCAAAGCACGGACTCCCTTAGCCTCAAAGGATGTTAAATATATATTACCCAATCCCATAGAAAATTGCAAGATTAGGTGGCTCCCTAAAGTTGCACGGAATATTCTCCCTAACCACACACTCCACAAGATGGTCAGAAAAGAACAACAACACACCAACCTCTTCTTCTTGACCTCTCCAAACCCCCACAACATCCACAACCAATCCAAAATAGTAAAGAGAAAGACCCAAGATTTCTGATGCAGGACAGCACACCAATTAAAAATAAAGAAAGCATACACTATTAAGTGTATCAACTCTACACAAGTACGCAGCCATAGATGAGATATCCAACCTTGTTGACCAAGCCTTTGCTTTTGATGTATTCAATTAGTATCAATCCTACCAAATGCTAACATCCAAACAAAAACATTCACCTCAAGAGGTATGTCACTCTTCCAATGAGATTAATACGGAAAAGTCTGATACCGAAGAGATAAGATTAAACAACACAAAAAGAGATTGAACTATAAAGCTCCTAACAAACCACCCACCTCAAGTATCGATATAAACTCATTTAATTCCCGGGAACACAGCCTCATGCCCTCACGAAGAGGTCTCCAAGAATATCCCAAGCACTATCAATTGTCAGCATGAAAGATAAGTGCAAGAACCTCAAATTCCTACATTAGTGGTATTACACATGGAGCGCAAACAAATGGTCTGTTCATATTTACAAACATTGTCCCAATGACAAATGACTGAACCATGTACTCTTCCCTATCTTAAACTTGACCAAGGAAGAAAATAGAGGACACCAATGAAATAAACTACCGCTAGACTAGAGCATACATCACAGCTGCAGCATCCTTATCCCACTCAATCTGACACAAATGGTATTCCATCTTCATTCTTAGTAGTGCAATGTTAAAGAAACTCAAGCTACTACCTCCATACCTATTCAACCTTGAGCATTAAGCACGGTTTCCAAGAAAAGATTTTGACAAATTATATTAATAGCTATGCAGTTATACATATAACTATATAAGAAGTTGACATTTTAAAATAATGGGAATCGAGACGGATCTAACAATACCTCATACAATATTTGCAATAAAAATACAATCAAATTTTACCAACTTTGACCATTAAAAAACATTTGATAAGGTAATATAGAAACAGAATGGGTAATACATAAAAATAGACAACTACAGCCGCAATCACAGTTCAAATGTTAAGCTTATATTAAGATGGAGTGGGTTTTGGGAATTAATTTAAGTCTAATTTGGCAATCAAAAAATCATTCTAATGTTTAAAGTCATGCAATATCATCCCTGTACTTGTGCTTTTCTTTATAAATGTCCATCATTACAAACCCCAAATGGTACTTGATGATTCGAAAATTTGCTTAGAATCAGAGATAATAAGGGATGAATTGTTATTACCATGGAAACCAGCATTGATTCATACAAACTTGTGTACAAATCCATTGTCATTACCATTTACCACCATTTAGTACCAGTTTAACACTAATCAAAGAGGCAGTACATACTAAATTTAAGACCACACAAGAAAACAGATTGTAAATTCAAATTTCAACTAAAAAAAAGGAGCAAATTAGGCAAATAATTGGAACAAATATCAAAAAAATTGAAATTAGAAACTTATAGTACTACCTCGGTTACATATTATTTGCAACAATTAGACATTGTTTCTCTCTATTTTAAGTCAAATCGTTGCAAATAATATGAAACGGATTTAGTATAAAAATGAAGTAGGAGAAATTAACTATTAACTAAAAAAAAAAATTGCTTACAGAATTGGGTGGACGGAGAGAGAATCTGGTAAGGCGAGGTGCATCTGTAGCAGGGATGTGGATGTATCTGGTGGCTCGTTGAAATGCTAACATCGCCATTATTCAACTCCGGACCATGCTTTGGTTATGCGCGCCTCTGTCTGCTTTCTTTTACCGGCGATTTGTAGTCGCCGCCGTGTTTAGTTTTTTAATTGAGGAAGTTAATAAGATGTCAAAATGTCGTTTGGTTTTGCATTTGTAAACTAATACGAAGTATAGTACAGTAGAATGAATTACTTAACAAAGATGAAACAAAAAGTAAATGGAGGTACCGACTACCAAGGGAGTATATACTCCCTCTGTTTCTTATTTCTTGCAACAAAAGGAGGGTAGCACATTTCCCAAGTCAAAAGATTTTAAGGGAATAAATGATGAGTTAAGAGCATATGATTAACTTTAAAAAGAGAGGGAAGTAATAAGAGACCACCTTTTTTTTTTACTGTCACATAGGGAGAATTTGGGTGGGGTTTACTTTTCCCTCTCAATTTTTCACCAAAATTTAAAAATTCAGTTTCAATCCTTCAAATATTTCCCTGCCTTTGCTTTTTCCCCAAGCAAAAGAGGGTATAAATATCACCAGTTTCCAACACAAAGTTAAAATGCAAATTTGTTCATTACACCACCATTTTAAACTACCACATAAGGAATACATATGAGCAATTAAATCAGCAAAAGTTAGCACTAAAACAAGTTCAAAAACTACCATAAATACATCCAGCCTACATCCTAACATCAAATTAGTGCTAAATTAGGGGCAGCGGCTTCATTTTGAAATCTTCAAAAACCAGGTTCCGTTTGAGTTGTCTAAAAAGTTGCATCCTCCACTTCATCACCATCGCCACACCTGGTTCAGAACAAGGAAGTATCTGTTACTTGATATGGATATGGAAGATTTTTTTTCATTGGAACAGTTGCTAGGAGAAGAACAAGAAGTTTTATCAAGTGACTCATCACTGTCCAGTACAGATTCAGAGGATGAGTATGCTGCAGAATGGGCATACTCTCAGATTTTACAGAATTAGCAGACAACCCAACAAGGAGAGATGAGGAGGGACCTTACCATTGAACAGAAGAGGCAAATAGTGGATTTCATTCTGTTAAAAATGCAAGGAGGTGATCTGCCAAGGGGTTTTTTTATCACAACAAGCAAGAGAGCGTGACATTCACAGATCTACAATGTCAAGATTGTATGCAGACATTAAAAAGCAAATGGCCCAGGGGAATGTCATTGATGTCAGATCAAAAAATTGTGAAGGACTGGTCCAAAACCCAAAGAGTACTCTGATGAATGGTTGCAATCTGTGCCATTATACAAAAGAACAACAGAGAGAAGCTATGCAGGTGCACTGAATGTTTCACATTCAACAATTCACAAATTAAGGAAGAAAGGAAGACTGAGGACACACACAAGCACAAACCATCCTGCATTGACATCTAATCATAAGGTAGCAAGGTTGAAGTGGGTATTAAGTCACATAAACCCAATTCCAACTCAAGGGGACACAAAGTTTGTTGACATGCAAGAAGTCATTCACATAGATGAAAAATGGTTCTACTTGAACCCTGAAACCAGTAAATTCTACCTCCTTCCAAAAGAGGAAGATCCTTACAGGTGTCAACAGTCAAAGAGGTTTAAGATCAAGGCCATGTTCATAGCTATGATAGGGAAACCAATTTATGCAAGAGATGGGACTCTAGTGCATGATGGAAAGTATGGTATCTTTCCATTTGTGATAAAACAGATGGCAAAGAAAAAGAGCAAAAACAGAGAAGCTGGTACATTGGAAACTAAGGTTGTACAGAATGTCAACAAGGATGCAATCAGACAAATGCTAATGAAGCACATCATCCCAGCAATACACCAACAATGGCCAGAGACTGTCCCCAAAAATGTGAAAATACAATGGGACAATGCAAGGCCTCATCAAATCCCTAAAGATTAAGAATTTGTTGCTGCTTGTCATGCTAATGGTTTTAATATTGAAATGGTGTATCAACCAGCTCAATCTCCTGACTTGAATGTCTTAGACCTAGGGTTGTTCAAAGTCATTCAGTCCCTACAATATCAATCCTTCCCCACAACTTTGGATGATTTAATCAAAGAGGTTACCGATGCATACAATGCTTTTGAGGCTAAAGCAAACAAGTACATATGGCTAACATTACAGTCAGTCACGATTAAGATCCTGGAAAAGCAGGGAGGAAACAACTTCTCACCACCTCATATGAAGAAGAAGAGGCTTGAGAAGTTAGGTGTACTTCCTAAACATCTACATGTTCTTAGGCAGTTGATACATGAAGCTGTCAATAATCTAGACACTATGTTCATACCAACAACAAATGGAGCAGAAGAAGAACTACACATGGAAGTTGATGCTAACTGAAGACAGAGAAATGCAAACACCCTTACAAGTATGTATGACTGCCTTCTTAGTATTTTTCTAACCTAGGTAAGAATTTGTCTTTGTTATTTATATGTTACTAGTATTTGTAGGTAATGCTTAGGTTATGTGTATTTTGATAACCAAATGCAAGGCATGTAAGGTAGTCATGTAAAGTAAGGGCATTTTTATTTTGAAAACTGTGGAGTTAATGGTAAGTTGTTGGTTACTATGATATGAATGCATGAATGGAAAAATCAAAGATTGAATTACCATCAGCAAGGGTATGTGTACATCAATCAGTTTAGGTAGGGTTGTTACCTCAACACCAGGGCCTTAAGGTCACTGATGGAGCAATGCTACCACTAGCAACTGCTATTCAAATAAGTCCCTTCATCACATGGCTCAATCTAATAAGGCATAGTCACACAATACCTAGGTTGGGACTCAAACAAAACACACATAGGTTGGGACTCTTCACACCAACACTTAATAAGGCAACAGAATAGCATGGCAATTAAATTCAGTTGGTAGGCATAACACCATCAGTCATAAGGGGGGGTTGCTAAAACACAGACAAACATAGATTGATATCCCATAAGCCAGTCATTGTGCATAAGAGTGGGACACTTATTACTATACACTCACAAACAACACAGTCTCACCAACATTACAACATAACACTTCATCATTCATCAACAAAACAATCCCCTGGCCATTATGAAACGAACATTCAAGGCATCACAGAACAACCAAGATAGAGAGTACCACAAGCCATATACACACACACTTTACCACAAGCCTCCTTAAAACAACAATCATGAAAATGATAAACCAACCAACACAGAAATTACCACAACTCATCTTAACACAACAATGATACAGGGACTCAAAAGACAAGTAAAGCAACAACAATAAAACAAATGGAGAACAAAAGAAACATGAATTGAGGAGAAGAAAGGTTATACGCTACAGGATTAATTGTCAGAGAACCACTCAGGGTGCATATCCCTCAGATTATCCATGTAATCCCCATCACAGAGAAGCTCCGGATCAACAGGCAGCCCAGATCCCACCCTTTTCATTCCTGAGAGGGACCCTTTCTTCTGCTGTTTGGCAGTGACAGACTCACCACCTTCGACCACCGCCTTTGCACGGGACTCCTTGACCTCCCCTTTGGAAGACCCAGCACCTTCCCCCTTCACATATCCCTGGCCTTCACTTTCCCCTTCCAAATCTGTCACCTCAATAGGGTTTTTTGGGGTTTTTTCGGCCAATTCAGACTGGACCTCACTCTCTTCATCAGAAGGTACATCAAGTTTTGCACCACGGCGAACCTTACAGGAGAGCGACCTTATCCTAGCACGGCGCAAGGGTTTTATCTTCCCAGAACCCCTCTCACAGATGTATCGAGTCGCACCTGGAGGGAGGTCATCCTTGGGTGATTCAGGGGGGAGATTCTCAAAGCAAAATAAGCTAGCGTCGTTTTTTTCAAAGGAGCTCATATTGTTACAAGAGGAAATATGGTAGATCTAGAAGGGGGTTAAGGTGAAAATTAAGGAAGAGGGAGAAAGCGGCGAATCACGGCAGAAGAACTAGGGTTCCAAAAAATAAGGAGAGAGAGAGCCACGAATTTAAAGGGATATGAGAGAGACGGTGAAGCCATGGAGTTATTGCAGGTAGGTCAAAAACCTGGAGATGAATTGAATGAAGTGATTGGGAAGATGAACAATTTTGTTCTTCAATCAGTTGGATAAAAATAGAGGGGAGATAAAAGGTTGATGATATTTTTGATGGAAATGGTTAGTACTTGATGATAACTTAACATTCTGATTAAAAATTAGTGAGGGTCATTTATCAACATAATGATACATGAGCAAGGGTAATACGGTAAATTTACCTTTAAAAATTTACTAAAAAATGAAAAAAAAAACACTTGTTGCAAGAAATGTGAACCATCCATAAATGGAAAATGTTGCAAGAAATAAGAAACGGAGGGAGTAAATAAATTCAGAACAAGTTTGTTGGCAAAATTTTCTTATTATTGTGAAATCTGTAGAAAGTTTGAGGGTTTTTTTATTTTTTTATTTTATTGTGTTAAGCACAAATTTGAGTACTCAATTCTACAATTTTTCACCATTTAGGTATTGAATTTATTTTCTTCACCATTTGGGTACTGAGTACCAATTTCCGGCAAAAAAAATTAATTTCCCCTAAGAATTGAGTACCCTTGGTTAACAATTTAGTACCTTGGGTTAACTCTAAGTGGGGCCCACCCGAATAAAAAAAGCACGGGTCGGAATTTTTTTCCCCTTTTCTTATTCTTTTGTTCCCTTTATTCCCCCTTTATTCTTTCCAAATCTGGAAAATTGTTGCACATTTGGTGAATAACACGAGCATTCATTTGGGCAAATTTGGGGAAAACGACTATTAGCACAACCATTTTTTTGAGGTAACCTTCATTACTCATTTTTTTGTTGTTATATTGATGTAAATTTCGAATTTTTTAGCCAATTGATGATCTTATTTTGCGAGTAAGGGTTTATGGTGCACAAAGAAAGTTCCTCAACACCACGACAACAAGTCCCAACCGAAGAATCTCAAGCATATGTGCCTACGCATAACAGGGGTATTGGTGTATACACCTACCCAAATGGATTTCAAAGGCAATCAGGGGTATGTAAAGCTCATATAAAGTTAAATTTCTGTTTATTTATTCAATCAATGTAATTAACTCATTACATATTCAAGCTGCAGCAAACTCAACACAAAAGTAAGCCTAATTCTGAAGCAACTACTACAACTTAAACCATTACAAGACTATGAAGGTACACCCCACACACTCAAACTAACAACAATACAAATTAGAAAATTGATAACAAAGCTTTGATGTTGAACCTTCTTCTTCAACTTCGGGGTCTGTTCTCATACGTTTATTTTTAGTTCAGTATAGTTTAGCTCCTAATTTTCTTCTCTTATAAAATATTCATTTCACTTTAGTTCAATTCAGTTGAGTTCAGCTGATTTCAGTCTATTAGAATAGGCCCTTTACCATTTCTTGTTCCATCTTCAATTTATTGTTAATCACCAATTCATTAGGGTGAGGAATGTCCACCCATTCAAAGTAATTGCATCCATTGTAGCATTTGTAGGATAGTTCTCACAAATTTTAAACCTCATGAATGGATGCTTGATTGTCCTTGAAATCCTATGCACAACCCTTCTGTTGCAGTGGTAGCATTCCATGCTTGATGTTTCTGTTTTTGCACTGGATGCTTGAATATTTCTGTTTTTGCTTGAATGTTTCTGTTTTTGCACTTTGCAGGAGAGGCTGATTTTCTGAACTTGCTGCTCTCTTCAGAAAAAAAAATTTCCTGTCCTGGATGATACTGGACTGCAGTAGAGAGGGGAAGATCTTGATGAAGCAGCAGCTATTCAGATTTTTTTTTTTAATTTTGGGAAAATTGTTGATGATGAATTTAGGCTAAGAAAGCTGGATTGTTTCTATTTTGCTGCTACTTTGTTGCTGGTGTATTCATGGCATTTTTTTTTGCCTAGTTCAGACCTCTTTAAATAGCCTAATAACGACTACTTTTTTACTGTTGCAATAGAAAAATTAGTTATTGTTTTCTTTTAAAATTATATTTTTAATTAGATATGGTTAGTGATGAGTTAATTAGCCTGAAAATAAGTTAGAGTACTTAAAAGGTGAGCAAAAAAAATTGAGTTCCTAAATGGTGAAAAATTGAAGAGTTGAGTACCTACTTGTACTATTAACTCTATTTTATTAATAAGAAAAAATACAAATTTGTATTCTAGTGCAGTCCGAATTATGCATCTATGACTTATACTAAAGTAGCAACCGCTGATGTCATCTTTTTCCAAAGTTGTATACGTGGCGCTATCTTATGAAAAAAATTTCCTGCTCAAATGCTTTTTGCTTTTTTTTTTTTTTTTGAAACAAAATGCTTATTAATTTTAAATAGATAATTACTATTTTTTAGGTAATTAATTTAAAATAGGAATCTAGTATTTTGCTAATTTATGTTGATATTAGGTTGTTGGAGTCTTTTTAGGAGTTATTAGCATAGGTTTTTTTTTTTTTTTTTTTACACAACAACAAAATTGACATTGATTAAAAAGTATTATTAGCATGATAATTTTTTTTTTGAGGAAAGTTATTTGCATAATTGAGGTCAATAATTAAAGTGAACTTATGAACATTTTGAAGTCAAAAAAAAAAATGTGAAAACAAAAATCCAAAGATAAGTTATTATGAAACCTATCGCACGGGTGCTAACCTAGTAAATAGATTATACTACCTCCACTTTACATTACTCGCAACAACTTCCGTTTTTGGTTGCTTCACATTACTCGCAACAACTTATTTTCTTTCCTTTTTTAGTAACTTTTTACTTGTTAAATGACACTTTTACCCTTTTTTTTTAAATCACAACATTACTACTCCTAATTTAATTTTGTTAAATTTAACTGTACTTAAATATTATAACCATTCCCACCGAATTTAACCCATTATTTTAAATTTACCTAAATCCCAACCA